GAGAGAGAGAGAGAGAGAGAGAGAGAGAGAGAGAGAGAGAGAGAGAGAGAGAGAGAGAGAGAGAGAGAGAGAGAGAGACAAAGGTTTTCTGCAGCGGGCAGTCGCTTGTTATCTGTTGAGGGCGGGAAGTGGCTTTTCTCACCGACACAATTGTAGAGGAGAATTTATAGATGAGAAACACCCAGAACAACAAGAAAGGAGAAGCAGATGGGGAAAAGCAGGAGAATGAGATGAGGAGGTGTCAAAGGTGGTGATAAGAGGGGGAGAGGTGAAGAAGGTGGCGATCGTAGGAGGAGTAGGAAGATGTCTCAGGGGGAGGAGAACTATGCTCCTGTACTTTTCTTGTAATGATTTTGAATTTTTGAACCATGCAAATGTGATTCGGTTCATGTTTGGAAGAATGGCTGGGGATCTTTCAGCCACGTGCGCCTCTTGAAGTTCTCTGAAATTGTTCTCCATGGGTCTGTGACATTTTGGGTAGCGACTCATCTTTCTTGTTGACTTTCTGTAAATTTGTTGTGTTTTTGTTCTCCATTGGTCCTGTACGTTTCTGGTAATGACTCGTCTTTTTGTTGTGTTTTTCATGGATGGTGTACCTTTCTGTAAAATATCTGCTCAATGCAGAGTCCGGCCAAAGCAAACTTGCGCATAGCAGCGGTAAAAGTTGGTGCCCAGCGTTGAATCCACCAGGCCCAGCTGTTCCTAGCTCAAGGCTTCACAACATGGCCCCTGATTCAACAGTGACAAGTGATGAGCACGGTGAGAAAGTTATCGACGGGCCAAGGCCTCATGACCAGGTTATTCATGTTGAGATGCCTCACCCTAACACAGTGCAAAGTGTGACGGACTCAGGCGCGGATGGAAGAGGACCTGCATTCGATACGTGTCAAAGGGATCGGGATATGGGGTGGACGAGAGGTGGCGAGATGATGATCCTGCAACCTTGCAGAATGATGGCTCAAGAGAAACAGTTCGATGTGCCGGAGGCTGTGAGAGGAGAAGGAAGTGGAAGTGCTGGGTATGGAGGAATGGCTACGGGAAGCCAGGAGACGAGTCTTGAGGAAGGTGTGTGTGGAGGAGGAGGGACATATCAGGAGCAACTGCCTGTGAATACTGTCGTCGGACCAGGACGAGTGATGCTAAACGAAGGAGATCGGGAGATCGTTAACTGCTTGCGTCATGTTTGCTTGTTGGAGAAGAGTGGTCATCTCAGCAAGGATTTCCGGCTCAAGTTCCTAACGTGGTTCAGCCGGAGAGCAAGTGACGCAGAGAAGAAGGTGGTTGCAATGATACTGTGTGCTCTAGGGGATGAGCCAGCGACGCTGGCAGAGCAGCTAGTTGACACGTTCTCGGAGCTCATTGGCACCTTGCCTGGAGGAAAGACAGAACTGATGGAAGCAATGCACATGGAAGGATTCGTCAATGGTTTACGAGAGGCTTCGGCAGTTGAGAGGGCATCAACAGCAGCAGGAGCATTAACATCACCGGTAACTGGCGCAGGTGGAATCATATCTGACGTACCACCCGCTGCTGTCCCATTGCTTGTGCCCGCCGGGGGAGAGGATGGCTTGGAGGGCCTAAGAGCACCAGGTTCAGATCTCTTGGAAGCACCTTTCATCAACTGGAAAGTGGACTGAATAGCAGGGAACGCCATATAAGCTTAACACCACACCTTCTAACTCCTAGAGAGTGCTTGTTATCCTGAGGCTGTCACACTTGACATGAATGAAATGATGTGGCATGTAGTAGGGACTAGGTGGGTGTCAGATCAAAGTAAGGCCCAGTGTATGTGTTGTAGGACTCAGTGGGTGTCTGATCAAGTAAGGCCCAGTGGTGATTGTCGGATAAAGTTGCCCCTTAGGAGCAGGGAAAGGGTATAATAGATGCTGTACAGGTATGGCAGGATTTGTGGGTGGATGGCATGTTATTGCTGTAGAGAAACCGTGATAGCATATTGACTTGAAGAAGGAGGCTCCTGGGGCAACTGCTATACGGGTAGGTCGTATGGCGTATGTGTATTGTTGGGAAGAAGCTATATGTCATTTTACAATCCTGCCAGAATTTTGGACTGTTTGGTGTGTAGTAGCTTGAGGCATCAAGCATGCAGTGCCTGGAGGGTCGCGATCGAGTGGATTCAGTACAAGCATGCATCCGGGAAGCTGATCCCAGTGCTGGCAGCTTTCCTTCAGACAGACAGTGTCAGACACCTTTGGAATCAAATCCCAGAGGGCAATTCCAGCCGCACCATCAGCCTCTTAATGCTCATGGATGTGCCACGAGCTTTGTTCGCGCGCGAACAATCAGCTCACAAGAGTCACAACTTCAAATCGTTCATGCACGAGGGTTCGCCCTCTAACACAGATTGGTTGGCCAGCGCCAGAGCAACTTCAGATTGTCGATGGGAAAGGGGAAAGAGTTTGTCCGAGGAGCGAGGAGAACGGTGAGGTACTCATCTTGGATGAGCACTGGAAATCAGTTATATGATTGCCTTATGCTCAAAGATAAGCCATGTCGGAAACGTATGTCCATACATACTATTTGAGTGTGGATCGGTAGCTTCCTTACGATTCGAAGGGAGTCGATGTAAGTACATTTTCTCAGTGTGTGATGATTTGTTGCAGATGTGCATATCAAGGTGCTCTGTTATTCCAACTCACTCGTGTTCGCACTAGTGGGTTCTGGATGTAATGCCAGTGGTCATAGGAGTACCTTTGTCTCTGCACTGTTCGACACTGACATTTCGTTCTTGGTGTGTATAGCTATAACATGGCCGGTTCTCGGGGTGTGTGTATGCGTATAGCAACCCTGTAGCAATGCTCTGTTAGGCATTTTTACAAGAAGACCGTCCGTCCTAGGCTTCCGCACAATGATCAGGTCTGCTTGCTTATCGCCTGGCAGACCGAAGCAGCTCAGGGTAGGAATAGCCATTGAATTGCAGATGTATGTGGCAGTAGGTCATGCCATCTACGCTTTGCCTTGTCATGTCCCAGGGGCTGTAGTATGGCAAATGCATCTGGACTTTCTGCTGACAGCGCTGGTCATTTCTACCCGTGTTCTCCTTCATACCATAGTTAGTAAGGAATTGGCATACGCCACAGCAAGACACTGTCTTTTTTCAATTGCTCGCTGTGGCCCACTTCATGGCGCATTTCCACCTGTGTCAATCTTGGTCGCATTGCACTGTGTGACTTTGTTGTTCGTCAGACCGCGATAGGTCGTGGCTTGTCTATTCCTGCCTGGACGAATCACGCCGCGCCGTGATAGGTCGTGGCTTGTCTATTCATGCCCGGACGAATCACGCCAGCAGGGCGCGATAGGTTGTCGCTTGTCTATTCCTGCCTGGACGAATCACGCCAGGCCGCAATAGGTCGTGGCTTGTTGTCTATTCCTGCCTCGAGCAATCACTTCAGGCCAGCCGTTCGGTTATCTCAGGATCGACCTGCTCCAAGGTCATGGCGTATATCCAAGTGCTTAACTGTTGTGCAGTCACCAGCTCGGAAATATACTTTTGCTGCTACAGAGCCCCGACGGGTTTCTGTAAAATGGTAACATCCCCATTCCCGATCCGGGTGGGTTATTGCTTGTATTTGGTCATTATGGACCATTTTCTTGAGTGTAAATTGGAATTGCTCTTGCATCCTGATCGAGCGCACCAACTGACCTGGCAGTACATATGGCCTCGGAGGTGATCCCAGTACTTAACCATTTTCCCATAATCTCCCTGTCTTCCTAACGCTTGCCTGACCTGTAAGATGTGCTTATTTCCCAATATGGTTGACATCATCTTAAAAGCTTGACAGGCCTATGGGTTTGACAGTTAGTTGAGAGCAAGATAAGTGAAATTTGTCAGAGCAAGGGAGACGCACGACGTCTGCTTGGATGCGTGTAGGTGATCAGGGGAGGCAGAGTGATGGGCTCCACTGCACAAGGGGCTCTTCTTGTTGCAGCACCCATTTGGTGGCTGCAAGCTCTTGAACAGGGATTGCAGCATGCAGAAAGTGTTGAAATTCTCCCAACACTCCATTTGGAATCTAGTCATGGGATGTGTGGTTGTTCATCATCTTGCCTGTCGGACACCGCGAGAAGGTTGCGATAGCTTTGCATTTCTCAGGGGAATACTCGGACGAGGGGCTCGCCCTGCCCTCTCGTGAGTTCAAAGGCACATACTCTCGAGTCTTCTCACACGCTCATGATAGAGACTTTGGCGTCAGCGCTTCTTCCGGCCATGCAAGAGATTGGATAGCGAGGATAAATTTAGGATAGGGGGTAAGGTTTGCGGGGGGTGGCAAAGAATCGGAAACTATTCCAGACCTTGTTTAACACCGTTTCCTCAGCGGAACGGCTTGAGCTTGCCCCTGGTTCCCCTTCGTCTTGAGGAACACTGGAGTTTTCCGGGTTGTGGGAAGGATCTCTGTCTCTTCCTTTTGTGCAATCAATGCATTTAAGGACCCTCTGCCCGGAGAGGGTCTTTCCGAATTTGGGTTTGTGAACTGACTGGAGAATACTCTCCAGGTGGAATTGCAACCCCGTTGATCCCAGGCTTGACGACTGAGAGTTCTTCAAAAGTATGAAAAGCTGGAGGACTTTGTACCATTCATTCAAGTGTAGTTCAGTTGGGCGCAACTGCCCGAGGCGGTTGCAGAGTACACATTTCACTGGTTAAAGTGAGATATATGACCACAGGCGACAGTCCTTTCTCGGCCAAAAGGATCTCAGCAAACGCCTTTCACAGAGCAGCCTCTCCAGCGCCAGTGCTCGGCCGAAGAGTATCTAATATATCCTCTATGCTAAGCAAATCCATGGCACCGCCGGCAATTAGGGTGGTGGTATTTGGATGGGTCCATTTCTGTCCTTCCTGGACTGACAAGCTGTACTTTCTCTCGACAGACGTCATATCTTCTCCTTCGGCCCGCAAATGGGAATAGGCCACACCCGCTCTCCTACTCTCCTCAGTCTCCCTCTGCCACCCACACACAGTGATATAGGCATAGACACACAAACACATGGGTGTTGATCTCACCAAGTGACCAAGGTCCTACCTCGCACTTACATGCTAGTGCGAGATCTGCTGAACGAATGAACGAAGTTGAAACAAATGTTCTCCCTCTTCACTGCCCCCTTACCCACACAAACCTCACCCGCTCC